CTTATTGTGTCTAGTTTCTAAAACCATAAGATTTTCTATGAGAATCGGTCTTAAATGGGGTTAAAATTGAGAAAACTCGAGAAACTGTCAAATTTTGGTTGACTTGGACAATACAGCCATATCATCGTTTTCTTCCTCTGAACAGGAAGAAGATGTGCATTTTTCGCGTCGCCGCCATTTGAAACTCAGTCTGTACAGCCACATTTACAGCGTTTCTCTCCTCGATTTCTTTGTGAAACTTAAAGATGGGTATTACAAGGAAGGGCTAGGGATTTGATTTGATACCTTATCGTGGATCGTAGCCTAAGATATTCGCTTCCAAAGTTCATCCAAAATCTGATTTATCGCTAGAGATAAAACAAAGGATTTCTTATTGGGTAGCCGATTCTAGGGCTTTCAAGGCCCTATTTCTTCATTGAACCTCTTCCATATCCTTTCTTCAGGCTAAAGGAATTCGTTTGGAGGAACGTCTTTGAGTGTAAGACCTTAATTTCCAAAAATCGTTCTCGGTATGCAACTCACTCGAAATGCCAGATTTTTTATCTCTTGGGTAGCTTGTTCTACGATGTTTCATCTCTCGAATCCTTCATCAAGTTTACTCAACTTTCTCCTCTGAAGCTAGAGGAATCCTTAATTTGAAGGAAAAGAGATCGTAGATAGGAATTCGACTCTTATCCCCAATTTAATTTCGAAACCTATTTCCTTCAATTCGACACACTCTCGAGGTTATTTTTCTTCGTGGTCTTCTATGGAAGCATTCCTTGGAGGTGCAGAAACTGATTGGAATCATTCTTGCTCGACAAATCATCATGTATCCTCGGATTGGATTTTCAAGTTTTTCTTGAAGTTCTTCAATGGCTGATTGAATTGAGGGAATGGTTTCTAGGCACTTTCAGCACTCTATTCCTTGATAGAACTTGTGGGTAATCTTGTTGAGAAACGGTAGGAATAAGTTTGAAGAGAAATGGTGGAGGATTCTCTCGAATTTGAAAGAAATCTGAGAGTAGGAGACCCATAATCTAAACGTTTATTGTCTTCGATTGGGGGATCGATCTTTCTCGATTTTTATTCCGTATTATTGCTCCTACTTCAGACTTTATAGGAGGAGCTTAAACCGACATTGAGAGCTCCAGATTCTTCGTTATTTAGAAGTTTGAAGAGAAATGGTGGAGGATTGCTCTCGAATTTGGAAGAAATCTGAGAGTAGGAGACCCACAATCTAAACGCTTATTGCCTTCAATTGCGGGATCGACCTTTCTCGATTCTTATTCCGTATTGTTGCTCCTACTTAAGACTTTATAGGAGGAGCTTAAACCGACATTGAGAGCTCCAGAATCTTCGTTATTTAGAGATCGAACTTTCTAGATAATTTTTCGGAGATATCAACTCCGATCATATCCTTACCGACCTTGGCTTTGAATACAAGTCGTTGGATGTGATGATCCGTGCGTGTTCGTTCTAGATCATATCAAATTTTGGAGATTCGACAGTTGAAATTTGAGTTCGAAGAATTTTGCTTGGATGGTCACGGTAGATGCTCTGATTCTAATTAGAGTGGCATTTCTGTAATTATCCATTCTTCTAGGGGTATTTTGGTAATTTTCCACTTTTCGAATATTTTATTATTATTTTTCTCCAAAAATCCATAATTTTTCTACAAATTCTTCATCCCTTTTTTATCATTTTTCGCTTATTTTGAATCTTGAGATTCCTTCTAGATAAGGAATTACAAATCCGGAAAGATTCTTGATAATTGATAAAATGACTTTTTTGCCCTTTTGATTTACTTTTTCCTTTCCAATCCTTTTCAAAAGGCCTTTAACTCCTTGAAATCACTTGTTAGGGTACACAACTGACTTGACTAAGTTCTTTGTTCTTGCTTAATCCTTTAATTTTTTTCCTTTCTATCCTTTGGGTCTTTCATGAGTGGCTTATTCTTATGAGAACTAATTTCCTTCATTTTTTGGGTGTTACATATACATATTCGTTACAAACACAAAATAAGAAGTAGATTCAAAAGAAGAACAAAAAATACTAGATTAAAAATAGAAGTTAGTCCATGGCCCACACTCCAAAGTCCACTCTCATCCACGACAAACTCTTAGTTACTTGAAAAAAAAATGATAAACATGGAGTTAGTAAAACTTAGTAAGCAGCCTACTAGTAGGTTCTAAATCGCGACCTTAAGCTAGGATATTACTTCTTGTTATGTTTTCGGGATCTTAGAATTTAGAGGTCATCGTGTCATGTATCATATACTGATCCTGAAAACCTTCCCCTAAAATAACCTTCAATTTTCTCCCCATGAACACATGAGTGGTGTCGTCATAATCATGTAATCCTACTAGTAAATCGTTGTGCAGGACATCTCGTTTAGCTGATGGGAAAGGTAGGCCTATCATAACATCCAGCTCATGATACATATTGTCGGACATCCTACCTAAAGAGGAATAGGGGCCTTTTAGTACACATCATAATGTAGATAATGGTTACTTATTGGTATGGATCCTAGCAACTTATTTAGCATGTTATTCACATAGTTCTAGGTACTTGGTACATGGATTATTGATGAACCTAGGTTTATACATAATGTCATGGGTTAGGCTTTAGGAGTTGAGGTTTTAGCTTAGGAAAACATTAGAGGGTAACCTAACGTGGACTAATTCGTGTGAAATCCTACTAGCACTTTGAGAACCTCTTTCCTTGACCAAACTTATAGGTAAACTTATTTAAAAGGTGCAGCAACAATTTTGGAAATGAATAGTGGACTATAGTTCTCGAATTCGAGGTAAACCCATGAACACGATACCCCAAAACAAAAAACTTGCATCTCTCGATTGGGTACTCGATTAAGCTTGCTTCTTGCCCCTAATAGTCTACCCTAATTCATAATTTATGGATGGATTTTCCACTACCATTGAAATGTCTAGAATTTCTATAATTTCATTCTTGATTTTTATGAATCTTCTGCCAGAAAAGTCTTCTCCGATCCGAGCCTTCCTTTTTTAAGCACCTTGTAATTCTTATTCTATAAAAAATTTAATGATTCGGGAAGTTTATAAAAATTAGAAAAAGTACCATTTTCTCAATGTTTTTTCAATTTTACTTGTTATCTGCTTCTAAATACAACCTAGTAGGGATTATACACTGTCTCTTATTGGAGACCTTGAGTGTTGCAAATTCTCCTCTCCTTTGAAAACTTTTGGTCATCAAAAGTGCTTATTCTAAAATAGGTCAGGGTACAAGGTTCTTATTTGCCTTTTGTTTCTCAAGTGGCTTCCTCTACTCTATGATTCTTCCATAGGACCTTAACAAGAGAGATTTCCTTGTTTCTCAATCATTTGGCTTTCTTGTCTATTATTTGAATCGGGTCTTCTTTATACGTTAGGTCATCTCTCAAGAAGAGAGTTTCATGAGCCAGTATGTGCGAACGATCTAGGGTATACTTCTGTAGTATGGATACATGAAAGATATTATGTACTGCAGACAAGTTTGGGCATTACCCGATTCTATAGGCCACAGATCCAATCCTTTCTAATATCTCAAAGGGACTGATAAACCTAGGGCTTAGCTTCCCCTTTTTACCCTACCTGAGCACCCCTCTCATGGGGTGCTACCTTTAGGAATAATTGATTCCCTACCTACAATTCCCTGTCCTTGCGCCTTAGGTCTGCATAGCTTTTCTCTCGGCTTTGTGCGTTTTGTATCCTAGCTTTAATCTTTTGGACTGTGGCATTGGTAATTTGCACCAGCTCTGGCCCAATAGTTGTCGTTTGCCCCCCTTCTTCCCAAAACATAGGGGATCGAAATCTTCATCCATAGAGAACCTCGTATGTGGCCATTTGTATGGTGGCTTGGCACGTATTATTATAAGAGAATTTCATAAGGGTTAGGTACTTATCACATATACCCTCGACATGTCTTCCAATATTTGCTTGAGCATTTCTATTTGACCATCTGTTTATGGGTGGAATGTCATACTATAACTGCGTACCCAATGCCTTTTGTTGAATTTTCCAGAAGCAAGATTTAAATCTGGCATCTCGGTAATACTATTGCCTTTTGTTGAATTTCCAGAAGTGTACCCAATACCTTTATTGATGAATATTCATTTTTAATGTTAGCAAGAGTAGCTCACTTGGGAGATTGTTAGACGGAAGATTTGAAGGTTACACGTGTTTTATCCACGTTCAACGCACCTAATACAAGTTTATTACGTGACTATACAATCTAAAAATATAACTTGCTTATTCAATCTAAAATTAGTGATTATTTCTTTTTTAAACATAATGAATAAGAAATACCTTTACTTATGAATTTTCATTTTTAATATTAGCGGGGATAGCTTTGTTGGGAGAGCGTCAGACTGAAGATTTGAAGGTCACGTGTTTGATCTCCACGTTCACCGCACCTGATTCTAGTTGCATAACCCGACTATTCAATCTAAAATTAGTCATTGTTTCTTTCTGAAATCTCAATGAATTATCGGAAATACCTAACGTGTTCTAGTTCACCGCACCCTATACAAGTTGGATAACTTGAATATCTTATTAAAAATTAGTGATTATTTCTATTTAAAATTTCAATGAAGTAGCGAAAATACCTTTACTGATGAATTTTCATTTTTAATGTTAGTGTGGATAGCTCAATTGAGAGAGCGTTAGATTGAAGATTTGAAGGTCTCGTGTTTGATCCACGTTCATCACACATGGTTCACGTTTTACTATTCAATCTAAAATTAGTGATATTTTTTTTTCTAAAATTTCAATTAATTAGCGAAAATACCTTTACTTAAAAACTTTCATTTTTAATGTTAGCGGGGATAGCTTAGTTTGGAGAGTGTCTAATTTAAGATTTGAAGGTCACTGTTCGATCTCCACGTTCACCGCACCGGTTTCTATTTGCATAACCTGACTATTCAATAAAAAATTAGTCATTATTTCTTTTTAAAATCTCAATTCGAAAATATCTTTAGTGATGAATTTTCATTTCTAATGATTGCAAGGATAGCTCAGTTGGGGGAGCGATAGACTGAAGATCTAAAGGTCATGTGTTCGATCCACGTTCATTGCACTTGGCTCACGTTGCATAGTTTGACTATTCTTTCCAAAATTAGTGGTTATTTATGTTTAAAATATAATGAATTAATGGGCCGGCTTAGGTGGGAGAGCATTAGATTGAATATATGAAGGTCTTGTGTTCGATCTGCATTCATTGCACCTTATAGTTTAGTTGATTATTAGACCGTAATATTGAAGATTTAAAGGTCACGTGTTCGTTTGGCCTTCACCACACTAGATTCAATTAGGCTAACTTAGCCTAAATAATTTTAGGGATGAATTTTCATTTTAATGTTAGCATGGATGGATAGCTGAAGTGGGAGGGTGACTTATTTAGGGATGAATTTTCATTTTAATGTTAGCGGATAGCGGAAGTGGGAGCGTGATTCAAGTAGTATAACTTACTATCCTATCTAAATTTAGAGATGATTTCTTTTTAAAATTTCAATGAATTAGCCTAAATAATCCTAAATAATTTTAGGGATGAATTTTCATTTTAATGTTAGCGTGGATAAATAATTTTAGGGATGAATTTCATTTTAATGTTAGCATGGATAGCTGAAGTGGGAGGTGATTCAAGTAGTATAACTTACTATCTTATCTAAATTTAGAGATGATTTCTTTTTAAAATTTGAATGAATTAGCCTAAATAATTTTAGGGATGAATTTTCATTTTAATGTTAGCACGGATAGCTGAAGTGGGAGCCTGATTCAAGTAGTATAACTTACTATCTTATCTAAATTTAGAGATGATTTCTTACCTTCACCACACCTGATTCAAGAAGTGGGGGTGAGTTTTTAGATCTAAAAATAGCGTGGATTCCTAATTCTTTATTTGACTATAAATGCTCTGTAAGATATTTAGTAAAATGACTCATTTTATTGCATGGAACAATAAAATTGATGTTCCCGTCGTCAATAGATTCTACTTTCAATGTTGCTAAGTTGAGTCCTTTTGATGTAGGTGATGATTTTTTTTATTCGAGGACGAATCTTGAAGAGGGGAATGATGATAAGAATCACGGTGTACATTCTACTTTCAATGTTGCTAAGTTGAGTCCTTTTGATGTAGGTGATGATTTTTCTGATTCGAGGACGAATCCTTTTTAAGAGGGGGATGATGATAAGAATCACGGTGTTCCAACTGGACCTATTACACAACCCAAGGCCAAGAAGATTCAACAAGCATTCATACTTCATCTACAAAATTGGATGGGCTAGGTTCAACCATCATTTCATGTGTTACAAGCTTATTCGTTTGAGTCAAGACCATTTGGAGATTCAAAAGTAAATATTTGCATGGTTGAAGTAGTGGATGAAGTTGCAAGCATCATTTCATGAGTGGTTAGAAAGCTTTATTTATTATTTTAATTTTATAAAGTTTGTAATCCTCAAATTGACTTCGTCTTCTGTGGAGATTTAAAGGGATCGAGATTAAATCACGAACACTAACTTCTTTTGTTGGGAGACTATAAATACCCACAAATTATTATGTAAAAGCATATTTGTGATCAATGAAATTGATCTCTCAAGTTCAGACGATCCCCCTTATAGAAATCTGAGTATATCTTTGTCATTTCTAAGTTTCATCCAATTCTTGTGGTAGATTGCATCTGAGTCATTCAATCAAGCCTCGATCAAGTTCGATTGTGAAGTGACTCAATTTAGAAAAAGGTTCCAAAGATTCAGAACATTATCTAATTCTAACTTTATCTCTTGGTTGATCCAAATTTTATATAAAAAGGTGTGAATTTCTTTAATACAAGAGTTCTTGCTTCTACAAAAGCTTGGCTCATTGGGCTGAAGATTACGGTTGGTCTATCATCCTTCAACGGGATCTTCTATCCCCATGACTTGCTTTGATGCGGTTGTTTTTCTTACGCCGATGACACGTCCAGTTATCGAGATTGGTAATGTGAATTTGTAACTCATTCATTGAGGTTCTTGGAATGATTCTATAGCTTATTATTTCCATGTTGGGAGTTGGATCATGAGTCTTGGGTGAAGGAATCCTTGATTTACCGCCCTTTGAGTTGAAGGAAGTGTCACAAGGCTAATTTTTTTTCAATCTTTTTTAATTTTATTGATTTTTTTTCAGTGATTTTTTTTTAATTTTATTTCAATTTTGTCAAACTCACTCAGGTGCTCATCTCAATCATTTCATCCCTGTGTTGGCGTTCAATAAGAGAGACCTTGGAAATAATCTGTAACTATTCAACTGGATTATCCCATTAACAATTTGAATAAAATAAAGTGACATTAACCATTTGAATCACCTCAACCCCACTTGTTGAACTTGACCAAATGTCTATAACATAACACTAACAAAGGTACAAAGTAACACTAACAAAGGTACAAAGTTCATAAAAGTCTTTTTAATGTAAAATACCATTGAACTTGACCATTATAGTGCCTGTCAAATGTAGGTAAAGTTTAAATTCGAGTCTCCTTGTCAAACTCACTCGGGTGCTCATCTCAACCATGATGGCGTTCAACAAGAGAGACCTTGAAAATGGTTGGATTATAGCATTAACCATTTGAATCACCTCAACCCCACTTGTTGAAATTGAAACAAATATCTATAACATAACACTAACATAGGTACGATGTTCATAAAAGTCTTTAATCTAAAATACTATTGAACTTGACCATTAAAGTACCTCTCAAAATGAGGTAAAGTTTAAATATAATTGGTGACAAAAGATGAAACTATAAAATAAAAAGAAATAAGAAAATAACATTCAATTTCAGAGAATCAAACCAGAATCTCGTAGGTGAAAGCAAAATATCCAAATTGGAAAACAATGAATTTTTGGTGTAGTTGTCCTAAAGTCTTTTGTCTAATCGCTCAAGAGTTTTACTATGATGTTTTGGGTAATGTCTAACTCTTCGACACGTCCTTTCATGTGTGTGATAGAGTTCTCTGAATGACTGCGACGTTTTGAGCTGTTCGATCGTGTGGCTCTTTCTTCAAAAGGATAAACATCAAACATCAGGTCTTTGATTGGCAACCCATCCAAAGGAGCGTCGATTGCATCGATTCCATCAACAGTCTTCCTATGAGTTTATGGTGCAGGACCCATTTTTTATACCACTCACCTTCGAGCGCCACAATAGTTTTGCATCGTCCATGAGATGCATTGCAACCAACGTAACTCTTAGGTCCTATGAGCAAGTTCCAGTAACCTTCAAGTAATGTTCTACCTAAAAAATAAAGCTTTTTAATTCCTTAGCATCCTGGTTTCCATTTAAGGGGTTGTGTTCTTGGATTTTAAGTTTGTTAAGCTCACATGAACTTGGCTTGAGGTGTGGTTCTCTACAGCCCAACTTGTCAAACTCACTCGAGTGCTCATCTCAACCATGATGTCGTTCAACAAGAGAGACCTCGAAAACGACTGGATTATCGCATTAACCATTTGAATCACCTGCTCATCTCAACCATGACGTCGTTCAACAAGAGAGACCTCGAAAATGACTGGATTATCGCATTAACCATTTGAATCACCTGCTCATCTCAACCATGACGTCGTTCAACAAGAGAGACCTCGAAAATGACTGGATTATCGCATTAACCATTTGAAATTGAACAAAATATCTAAAACATAACTCTAACAAAGGTACGAAGTTCATAAAAGTCTTTTTAGTCTAAGATAGAAACTGTAAAATAAAATGAAATAAGAAAATAATTTTTCATTGCCAAGAATCGAACTCGAGTCTACTGGGTGAAAGCTAGATATCCTGACCACTGAACAACAATGGATTTTTGGTGTAGATGTCCTGAAGTCTTTTGTCAGATCGCTGAAGAGTTTTAACATGATCTTTTGCTTAATTTCTAACTCTTTGACATGTCCTTCCCTGTGTGTGTTAGAGTTCTCAGGGCTATCGCGACGTTTCGAGCTGTTCGATTGTGTGGCTCTTTCTTCAAAAGAGTCTATATCAAATGTTAGGTCTTTGATTGGCAACCCATCCAGGAGAGCGTCGATTGCATCGATTCCATCAACGATCTTCCCATGAGTTTATGGTGCATGACACATTTTTTATACCATTCACCTTCGAGCACTACCATAGTTTTGCATCGTCCATGAGATGCATTGCGGCTAACGTAACTCTTAGGTCGTATGAGAAAGTTCCTGTAGCCCTCAACTCTCAGGTCGTATGATAGAGTTCTTAGAGCTACCGCGACATTTCGAGGTGTTCAATCGTGTGCCTTTTTCTTCAAAAGAGTCAACATCAAACGTCAAGTCTTTAATTGGCAACCCATCAAGGGGAGCGTCGATTGCATCGATTCCATCAATGGTCTTCCCATGAGTTTATGGTGCATGACCCATTTTTTATATCATCCACCTTCGAGCACCACCGTCCATGAGATGCATTGTGGCCAACGTAACTCTTAGGTCCTATGAGCAAGTTCCTGTAACCTTCAAGTATTGTTCAACGTCAAAAATAAAGTTTTTTTAATTCCTTAGCATCCCAGTTCCCATTTAAGGGTTTGTGTTTTTGGATTTTCAGTTTGTTAAGCCCAACATGAGCTTGACTTGGGGTGTGGTTCTCTACGACCATCCTTGTCAAACTCACTCAGGTTCTCATCCCAGTCATCTCAGCCATGATGGCGTTCAACAAAAGAGACCTTGAAAATGACCGAATTATCACATTAACCATTTGAATGACCTCAACCTCACTTGTTGAAATTGAACCAAATATCTATGACATAACACTATTAAAGGTTCAAAGTTCATAAAAGTCTTTTTTAATCTAAGATACTATTGAACTTGACCATTATAGTGCCTCTCAAACCAAGTTCATAAAAGTCTTTTGAATTTAAGTTACTATTGAACTCATCCATTAGAGTGCTTTTCAAACCTAGGAAAAGTTTAAATATAATTGGTGACAAAAGATGAAACTATAAAATAAAAGAAATAAGAAAATAAAATTATCAAACTCGGGTCTCCTCGATGAAAGCCAGATCTTCTGTGTAATGTCTAACTTTTCGACACGTTTTTTTTATGTGTGTGA